GTGTCACCAATGAGAAGTGTAAAAAGATTTAATATGAAGGGAAAGTTAGCACCGAGGTATATTAGACCTTTCAAGATCCTAGAGAGACGTAGAGAAGTAGCCTATCAGTTGGAACTACCTGAGAGTTTGTTAGGTGTGCACGATGTGTTTCATATATCTCAATTAAAGAAGTGTTTGCGAGTATCAGAAGAGCAGATTCCTTTAGAAAAACTTACTGTTAAGGATGATCTCACATATGAAGAGTATCCGATAAAGATCTTACAGATGGCAGAAAGAATTACAAGGAGCCGAGTTATAAAAATGTGCAAAGTACTGTGGAATCGGTATATATAGAATGATGCTACATGGAAAAGAGAAGAGGATTTTCGAAAGTCTTATTTGCAACTGTTTGAGTAAGCAATCATCCGAATCTCGAGGATGAGATTCATCTTAAGGGGGTAGAATTGTAACACCCTAAAATTTGCATTCTTTTAAAATAGTTAAATTTGATTTATTTATGTAATTATGTGTGCATTCAAATATAAGAAAAATAATAATTTTGTGCAATTAAAATCAATCTTAAGGATAGATACATGTTGATGCATCCATGCTGCAGCATTTTTTTTAATATGTTGAGTGATTTTGATTTAAACTCAAAAGGATTAAAAAACCATTTGGAAATGAATTTGGAAATTTGATTTGAAAAAAGAAAAGCAAATTCATTTCTCTCCCCTTCCCGTCTTCACTTCTGGCCTAGCTCGCTCTGGCCGAGCCGGCCCGCTCACCTCCATCCTTCCCCCTTCTCCCCTTTCTCTTCCTGGGCCGGCCCAACTCGAGCGGGCAACCATTGCCTCCGCGCCCTCCCCTCCTTCTCTCCCAATGATCGCCTAGGCCCGCTTGTCGGCGCCGTCGCCCACCTCCCGCGTCTCGCGCAGTCATGGCGCAATCGCCGCCCGCGCCCACCTCGCGTCGTGGGAGCACCTCCCCCCGCGCCCGGGCCTCCATAAAAGAAGCCAAGCCCGTCACCGCTCTCCCTACTGCCTCCCCACTCCACTCTCGCATTCACCCATGCACGCGGAAGTCGCAATCGCAGCGCCGAGGTCCGTTGTCCGTCCCACCGCGCGGGCCGCCATCCCCGAGCCGCCTTCGTCTCCGATTTTCACCGTGGTGAGTTTCGCCGTACTCTCCTCTCTCTCCCCGACCTTTTCCCATGGCAAATGGTGGCTAGTATGGCCATTTTCGAGTGCGCCGGCGAGCTCTCGCCGCCGGCCATGGCCACCACCGTGTCGGCTGTGTCCTCCGGCCGCGTTCTCGACCTAAGCGAGATCGCCTTCACCTCCTCTCTCCCGGCGCCCTCGGTTCGTCAAACCGTGGCCCGAAGGCCTTGTTTCCCGCTCGCCGATGACCTCCTCGCCGTCGGCAATGGCTGCACCGCCGCGGCCACCACTGTTCCGCTCGACGCCTCCCCCTCTACCTTCCCCTTTCTAATCTGATCCACCCATCGCTTGATCAACGACCGCGGATGGCCGATACCCCTTTGCCGTGGCAAAATTGCTAAAGAATCCCTCGGCTTTATCCTTTTTACACCCGCAGTCCTTGGCCAGATGAAAATCCTGATTTTTTTTATTTATTTAAATTCAAAAATAGTTCATTCTATTTACAGAAATGCCACTGCTTTGTTTTGCTTATAAAATCGTCGTTTTAGCTCCGAATCGACTCGTTCAAATTTTGTTAGGTTTGTAATTAAGTTCTCTACATGTTAATACCACTGTCAAACATGTTTGCAACATTTAAATTTTGAGGTTAGATTTAATTAAATAAATTGTTATAGAAAACCCCGTTTAATCCATAACTTTCGTGTTTTAACTCCATTTTTCGTGAACTTCGCGTCTATGTGATCGTAGAGAGACGTAGATTCTTTTTAGGAACCTTTTTATCTTGTTTTTGTACCCTGGTGTATTGTTCTAATCTCATAATTGTTTGCTTTGCATGAATGCCTTTGGAATGCTTGTATGTTGCTTTGTTGGTAGAGTTCAGACGGTGAGGAGAACGTTGTAGACCAAGAGTTCTTTGACGACCAGCAGGAGCAACCCAAGTTCGTTAAGCAAGGCAAGTTAGCATGGGATCTACCTTGATGTCCTATTCACCATTTATTAAATTCTCATTTGCATGTGTCTAATTTTGATAACCGTAAGAACATCCTAGTGATTGAGTATCCAGTTTCCTTGTCTTCTACGGGTTATATGCATATGGGTAGTTTGCTAGCGCTCAATGTAACTATACATGATCTACATATTGACTAAAGGTTCTAAAGAACAAAAAGGTAAAATTTGCTTTTCAACAACTGAATTATAGGCCGAATGAGCAAATGACTTTTGATCATGATGCTCTTGGCCCTCCATAAGGACTTATCTGTCGGCAAAAGCTGGGACTGACAATGCAACCGTGAGGGTCACATGGCTCTGACTTTAGCTCAATAATAGGACATTTTCTAGCTTGTTAGAGGTTACCTTTACGGTGTAAAAAGGACTTGCCACGTTGGGTCTAGGACTGCCTCTGTTCCTATGCGTATAGCCGTGATGGAGATGTGTCATAGGAAAGGGGGCTTCCTACATCTGCCTGCCGAGGAAACCTAGCGGCCCTAACTTGTTAGAGAAACCTATGAAATGGCTTCATAGTGTACCACGCCCGCTCACCTTGGTAGTGTTATGGGAGTAATTAACCCGGGCATATGGGAATCACGACTCACGGTGAAAGTGCACAACCACTGCAGAGTGTTACAAACTGTTATAACAGTCGTGCTTATGGTCACGAGCGGCCCGGAAAACTCACAGAATAAATGGTTACGTATTGTTGTTCATTTATGATGTTCAACGATGATAATATGATTCAATTGATTCTGATATCTGATCATGTGGGTTTTATTGGAGCTTAAGCATAACTTGATAATAGTTGATGATAAAATCTGAACTTACTAAAAGTGCTAACCGCAGTAAACCAGAGTCATCCTTTTTGAGCTTTCATAACCCCATGTTATCTTGTTAAGTACGGAAAGTACTTACGTTTGTTTACTTTCAATATTGGATAAAAATCCCGGATGAGTAACAAATGCCAACGGATATGAGTTTCCAGAGGACTTTTAGGCTTATGGTCAATCAGTTGACCGTCCCTGTGTTGGAGCTACCACAAGAGAGCTACCTTTTTATTTTTTGTTGTGTTGTGTAAGACTGTGATGGTATTAATCGTGATATAAGATACACCGTGATGATACTTTTTGTAATTTGTCAACTTATGTGTGTGACTGATCCCTGGACTCAAATGAATTTTATGCATTCAATTTTATTCTTAAAATTGGGTGTGACAACCGGGGCATAAAAACAAGATAAAAAGGTTCTTAAAAAGAATCTACGTCTCTCAACGATCACATAGACGCGAAGTTCACGAAAAACGGAGCTAAAACACGAAAGTTATGGATTAAACGGGGTTTCCTATAGTAATTTATTTAATTAAATCTAACATCAAAATTTAAATGTTGCAAACACGTATAACAGTGGTATTAACATGTAGAGAACTTAATTACGAACCTAACGAAATTTGAACGGGTCGATTCAGAGCTAAAACGACGATTTTATAAGCAAAACAATGTAGTGGCATTTCTGTAAATAGAATGAACTATTTTTGAATTTAAATAAATCAGAAAAATCAAGATTTTCATCTAGGCGAGGACTGCGGATGTAAAAAGGATAAAGTCAAGGGATTCTTTAGCAATTTTGCCACGGCGAAGGGGTATCGGCCATCCGCGGCCGTTGATCAAGCGATGGGTGGCTCAGATTAGAAAGGGGAAGGGAGAGGGGGAGGCGCCGAGCATAACAGTGGCGGCCGCGGCGGCGCAGCCATTACCGGCGGCGAGGAGGTCATCGACGAGCGGGAAATAAGGCCTTCGGGCCACGGTTCGACGAACCGAGGGCGCCGGGAGAGAGGAGGTGAAGGCGATCTCGCCTAGGCCGAGAACGCGGCCGGAGGACACGGTCAACGCGGTGGTGGCCATGGCCGGCGGCGAGAGCTCGCCGGCGCACTCGAAAATGGCCATACTAGCCCCCATGTGCCATGGGAAAAGGTTAGGGAGAGAGAGGAGAGCACGGCGAAACTCACCACGGTGAAAATCGGAGACGAAGGCGGCTCGGGGACGACGGCCCGCGCGGAGGGACGGACGGCGGACCTCGGTGCTACGGTTGCGACTTCCGCGTGCACGGGCGAATGCGAGAGTTGAGCGGGGGAGGCAGCAGGGAGAGCGGTGACGGGCTCGGCTTCTTTTATGGAGGCCGGGGCGTGGGGGGAGGCGCTCCCATGATGCGAGGTGGGCGCGGGCGGCGGTTGCGCCATGACCGCGCGCGATGCGGGAGGTGGGCGACGGCGCCGACAAGCGGGCCCAGGCGGTCAGCGAGGAGAGGAGGGGAGCAACGGTTGCCCTGCTGAGTTGGGTCGGCCCAAGAGGAAAAGAGAAAGAGGAGAAGAGAAGGTGGGCGAGCAGGCCAGCGGGGAAAGCTGAGCCAGCAGGCCAAAATGAGGAAGGGAGGGGGAGGGAAAAGAATTTACTTTTCTTTTTCCAAATCAGTTTTTACTTTTCTTTTTCCAAATCAGTTTTCTAAGTTCATTTTCAAATGATTTTTGAATCCTTTTGACTTTTGGATCCAAAACCACTCAACACAATAAATGAAATGCCAGCATGAGTACATCAACATGTATCTATCCTTATGATTGATTTTAATTTCACAAAAATTATTATTTTGCTATATTTGAATGCACACATAATTACATAAATAAATCAAATTTAACTATTTTAAAAGAATGCAACTTTTAGGGTGTTACAATATAACGGATCAAGAAAGCTTAATTACCACACAATGGTGAAAATGACAGGAAAGAAAGTATATTAGATTTTTTTTTCTTGAACGACGCAGAAGAGTAATAAGTATTAGATTATATATATTACCTCCCAACACCAAAGGCTTGAATCCGACTCATCCTCCAGACCATCGATATCCATAGCAGAAAGACTCAGTGACACCATCTTGCAACTTCATCCTCTTGTAGATTTCATCTGTTAACTTGGCACAAGAAAGACTGCCCTCCAGCAAGCATGCTATAATCGAGTCATTTGTGTTGCATGAAAGCTCCTTTGGATTCAGCTGATGACCAGAAACCTCCTTGTAATATCCATACAATGCATCAATTTCTCGCTGCCATTCAGCAGATGCAGACTCCTTGACCACCACAGCCAATTCAGCATAGGCTCTTTTCCTCTTCTCCTGCTTCTTGTTTGGCTCTGCTGCACTGGACGCACAATCCGGAGTTGATTCCTTCGCCTTATCGCCATCCATCAGAAAACCTTTAACAATGTACATTAGGCGTCATGCACAAGCCTTTGAAAGCTCACAAGTAGCACTACATTTGGCGAAAAATATGTCATCTAGTCAGTTATTGTCCAACAAAGGTTTGACACCGAACAGATAAGAGGACAGCAAAATTATGTCATCTGGTCAGTTATTGACGCTGAACAAATCCTACCAGGATCATATCAGGTCCCTGATCGATTCACTTAACTAATTACGTTAAGAAACCAGTACTATCAATTCAGTTCGCTTCATCAGAGCAAGCAGGATCCAGGAAACCTATTCTTTAGTGACACTAATACTACCGACAAGAAACCCAACAACCCGTACTTGTTCTTAGAAACAATTGAAGAAAGAGGCTCATGATCCATGGGGTGAACTTTCTGAAAGGGGTTTTCGCAACGAGCACAGAACTACACAAGCGGAGACAAATCACCTTGCGGCGGCCAAGAAACGCGGGGAAACCGCTACGCGACTCTAACTCCTCCGCTCAGTTCTCCCATCAAAGCATCCAGAAATGGAAACAAACCCCTCAATTCAATAGAAATAACCCACCCAATCCAAGCAGTTCGACGCACCAAACGGGAAACCCCAAAAATTTCTCAATAAGTCGCCGCAAATCAGCCCCGCGTACCTCTGTGGCGCGCCCGGTCGGATTCCCCCATGATAACTGCGATTTCCCCTTTCTCTTGCCACACCTCGTGTCCCTCGTCGCTTCGGTTGAAAGGGCGTTGCTGCTGGGGGCTCGGAGGTGGGTGCCGCCACCGGTGAGGATGGAGAGAGGTTGGTGAGGGCGCTGCCGCGGTTGCTGTGGGCCGGATCTGGTCCGCGCCGCCGCTATCGTGGGAGATAGGACAAAGGAACCGCGGCCGCCGCCTCCCGCCCTGCGGCTCCCCGAGGCTGCCGAGGCTTCCCATCACGGCGGATCCGGGAGGCGGACGGGCGCGAGTGCCGGAGGCGAGGATTCCATCTCGTCTTGTCTCCCCTTCCGGTCGTCCACTAGGGGGACACAGCGGATGGGGAGGGGAGCGGTTGGCGGCGTGGGCTCGGAGGCGGAGGGACGCGGCGGGCGTGGGTACCGCGGGTGGTTATAGATTTCGCGGGTGAAAAAAACAGGGGTGGGAAGCCGACGCCACACACGTGAACGTGTTGATGTAAAGAGTTTCCGACCGAGTTTCTCGTCAGGTCCGCTCGTCAGATCAGGAGAGACGTTTACATTCGTTGGATCTGAGTTTAAAGTTAATACCAGGCCTGGTTGAGATCCTAAGTTTTTTCACTCTCTCTTCATCATATTAAATTTTTAGACACATGCATGGAGTATTAAATATAGATTAAAAAAATAACTAATTACACAGTTTGATTGTAAATTACGAGACGAATCTTTTGAGCCTAGTTAGACCATGATTGGACAATAATTGTCAAATACAAACGAAAATGCTACAGTGCCAAATACTGATTCCTAACCCCAATCTAAATAAGGCCCAAGGGACAAAAAAAATAAGATGGGTAGAAAATCTCTGGGTGAGAGATTATTTAGATGGCTTCGCTCCTTTATATAGTATAGAAGTATAGATTTATAGTATAGACTAGATAAATGCTCGTGCGTTGCAACGGGAACACATAATATCATGATAATATATGTATGGGTGTGTGTTATATTGTTATCTAAAATAGATACCGCAATCATAATGTTCCAATCATTATTACATAAGTCTTCACGAAAGATACATAGTTAAAATATAACTCTAAATTTGAATGCAAAACTAAAATATCAACTTTAATTGTCGCATCACTTCATGCCTACGATACGCGAAAGATAAGCTTACACTTCTTTATGAATCAAATGCTACAGAAACATAATCATAACAAGTTTATGTTTCATAATACATGTTTTAGAATCTATAGCAAATGTCCGTGCGTTGCTACGGGTTTCAAAATTACATGAACCTATGTATTTTCCAGTAACACATATGAAAGAAATATCTTATATACACCATGGTTTAGACTGAGTACATGCATGTTTAACTGAAGCACTTTGTACGGTCAAAGGTCTTGCAATAACATCTTGTAATTCACTTTATTACTAAGCACCTCCTTATAAGCCAATGATTAAAAGTCTACCATCAACACCTAAATCATTTAGATTGCAGTGGAGAAATGACCTTTGTGAACTACAAACTTTTCAGATGCACCTTCAAACTAATATAATATGAGGCAATCTAAGATGCACTCCCATAAACATACATGGACCATGGTCAATTAACTTAAGATGGGATCCTTTACCTAGGCCAAGATCAATATACTAAAAATAATGCAAAACATTTTCTTGATTTGTAGCAATTTATATTTGGAACATGCTCGTTCAGCCTGTCTTCTTATTTTCATCAGCTTTTTATTTGCACACTGCAGCCAGCAAAGGACAGATATTGCAGGGCATCACTCAGACTTTCTTTAAATAGGTTCTAAGGCCAATGACACCTGAAATGGAACCATCCTACAATGAAGAAACACTTCATGAGACACTAAGGACAGGAAAGGGCTCGAAAAAAGTACACGATTATTTTCTAGTTCAAAGCTCATGATCTCAACCTAGAACATGCTTCCGGTCAACTGTAACATTCTGCTCAACATTTTCTTCTAAGGTAGCAAATTAAAAGAACATATTCCGCCCACCATTTACTCGACTACATGCAGCTCAAGTACTAAGATGAATATCACAAGCATTTTCTGAATATTATCAACGAAAAAGTTTCTTAATAAAAGAACATAGGCAAACAATTATCCCGGGTTGGTTAGGTCATCAGTGTTAGCAATCGGTGTCCTAGCGCTACCTTCACCAGATCAAATTGTTGTGCATTGAGACGACAACGTAAATGGATATTTTGTTTAAAAGCAAGGTAAATAGATAGCCATATTCACCTGATAAAATTGTTGCTCGTTCCATTATATGAGACGACAACGTTATGACCTCCGCCTGCTGAAATTGGCATACTGTTAATAAAGCAAGAACTGAAGCTGCCGAAATTAAAATAACTTACCTGCACATACTCTCCCTTATGGAAAAAAGTTATAAAAAAGGGCATATGTATCTGTAACTGCATGCTCATACATGGCTTGGATTTTTGAGGATGAGGTTTAGAGCATTCAGCTATATTAACACTTAGCAAACAAGCACATATTTACCATTAGCAATGTTGAGAGATACGCTCAACAAGAACCAAAATCTCCTGCAGTGCATGGTAGTGGATATCCAGTGAAATAGAGGAATCATTTAAGTTAGCAATAGCAATATTCATCAACTCAACAGGGGATGACATCTTTAACTTCTCCATCAGTTCTTGCAAAGCAGACAGCAACTAAAAAAATTGTTTTTACATCTTCCACACATTGGTGTGAACTCTGAAGATCAACTTTACAACTAAGAGAAATAGGAGTTTCGTCTATTCAGGAAATTTCTAAAATTAATGGAAACAAAACTTAAAGAGAACTCTAAATTTGTATTAAAAATATTCCCTCAGCCCTGCAGCAATCTTGTCACCTTAATCTCCAACTATTAGTTGAGAAATTCGGCCCCAATAGTATATCTAATTCTGCAGTCCTTTCTCTCAACTTATCTGAAGATTCCGCAGTCCCTTCCCAAATCAATGAAGATGGATAACACAACTAAGCACAGCATGCCGCAATTTTCGATAAACAAATTGAGCCAAACTATAAATAACACAGATTCAAGCGCTCCCAGGCTTTGCATCGTACTCGCACCTGGATGGCTGGACCTGACGTTGCTCTCCCAGCACAAATGGCCAATGCTCTCAAAGGTCATCAAGTTGTTACACATACACTCACATGCCATTATCCCATGATGGACGCTTCCACATCAATAACCAGTAATCTTCAACATCGAGTACTATCTGAGATCCGATGAGTTCCCTCTGCTCTCAATTCCACTAAATTCTACTGGTACTAATAATTAACAACTCTAGCTCATACCACCACAGGAAACTGGATCTTTGCCGAGTGCGTAGAGGTTTGTCGAGTGGCAAAAATCGGGCACTCGGCAAAGAGACACTTTGCCGAGCGCCAAACCCAGCACTCGGCAAAGGACGATTTGCCGAGTGCCTGACTCTCGGCAAACTCAGGCACTCGGCAAATAAGTTCTTTGCCAAGTGCCGGGCTCTCGGCAAACATGGGCACTCGGCAAAGAGTGCCATGGGGCAAACGACATCCATGGCCGTCACCTTTGCCGAGTGCCTGCCGTTAGGCACTCGGCAAAGAGCTGCCACATGGCAGGCTCTGGGGCCACCAGGCCGACTGGATTTTGCCGAGTGCCATGTGGCCGGCACTCGGCAAACGACCTCTTTGTCGAGTGCCAGCCCTAGCACTCGGCAAAAAATATATATTTTTTTGGTTTTGGCCGCTAGTTTTTTTGTGAAGCATTCCTACAGTACCATGATCAACATGTTCAAATTTGGCACATTTTTAGTACATTTTGCTATATTTTTCACTTTATTTCAATTTGTTGAATTTTTTCGGAAAATGTAGGTTTGAACTGTGGGTGCATCGAATATTCGATTTGAATGATTCAAAAAATGATATTCTTATTTTTGAGTGTAAAGTTAGGCCAAATCCATGAACTGACCCAAAATTTCGATCAACGTGCGCACGGGGCAATGCCACCATCTTCCGTGCGGGCGGTTTTTTAATTCTAAAAAATGCAAACGAATTCCGAAAATCGCGAAACTTGTCGAGATGTCATGATATCGTATGCGTATGCTGTGGTGAAAAATTGAAAAAGTTTCGAGCACGTTGCACGTACGATGTTCACAAACCAGTACATCCCCACATGTGATATCTCTATATGGTTGTTTATTGCTTTAGCTTGTGCGGCCATCCTGCAGGTACTAATGAGATCGCTTCTCCTTTGTGCAGGCACAGTCGGCGGGTTCGAACCCGACTCCTCCAGGTGGCCCTTCTCCACAGCACGGGTGGCCGGTTGGCACGGTTGGCCTGACTCCACAGTACACGTGGCCAGGTGGCGTTCCTCCGTCTACGCAGCACGGGTACTCCAGGTGGACAGGCGGCCATCTTCCGCCGCCCGGGTGGACATTCCAGGGTGCCCCTCCGCAGCAAGGGTGGCCTTCGTGGCCATCTGGGAGCTCTTCACACTCTGGGGGCCATGGGGACCAAGGGACGCAGTAGGTACCTCTCATTTCGCTTTTGGACTTGTGATGGTTAGGTTGGACTAGTGATGGATTGGCTTCTGTGAGGGTTATGTTGGACTTATGTTGGACTAGTGATGGATTTGTATGGATGTACTTGTGATGGATGGATGGATTTGTTACGGATGAACTTGTGGATGGATTTGTGTTGAATTGTATGGATGGAATGTGATATATGTGATATTGTATGGATTTGTGTTGAATATATGTGATATTGCATGGATGGAATGTGAAAAAAACTGAAAAAAAAATTACCCAGATTTGCCGAGTGCAAACACTCGGCAAAGCTGGGGAAGTTTTTCCCAGCACAACAGCTTTGCCGAGTGCTGACACGGCACTCAGCAAAGTGACCATAAGTTTGCCGAGTGTCAGCACTCGGCAAAGATTGTTTCCAAAAAAAAAATTACTTTGCCGAGTGCCTGTAAGAGCGGCACTCGGCAAATATTATTTTTTAAAAAAAATTAAAAACTCTTTGCCGAGTGCCTGCCACGTCAGCACTCGGCAAAGAAACCGGCAGATGACGGTGGACGTTAACTTTGCCGAGTGCGGACATGGCACTCGGCAAAGGCTTTGCCGAGTGCCCGACAGGTGGCATTCTGCAAAGAATTCTTTGCCAACGAATTCTTTATCAAGTGCTCTTTGCCAAGTGCGGCACTCGGCAAAGCCTTTGCCGAGTGTAAAGCGGGCTTTGCTGAGTGCGG